ACAAAAAGCAAAAAAAATGAAAAAAATGCAAAATTTGGCAAAAAAAATGTCTGCGACAAATTTTCGAATTTTGAAATTTTGAAACGGCTATTCTTTCAGATTTTAACAGTAGATTCCAAAAATGCAAACCCAAAGAAAATCGACCGGAAAATACGACTTCTAGAGCCGATTATCTATTCTTGCACATATTGAACTGTGGCACTTCCGGTTTTGCAAAAAAGATCCAAAATATATTTATGCACATCGTCGCCTATATCTAAGGTTCGTGAACGTTGAAAGGTTGCTGCAACTATTGTAGTCTAAGCTCAGGAAGGTGTGTAAAAATCGAAAAAAAAAAAAAAAAAAAAAGAATTGACATTTCGATAACAAACTGGGACTTTGCCGTAGCAAAGTCCCACAATTAAGTTCAAAATTCAAGGAGATAATATTATGTTGTATGAACCTTAGTAGATCAAGGGAGGCAACCATGAAGAGATTATCTACAGGGAGCCTTGGCATCAATTTCTTCGGAAATTAGATCAGTTGAGATCCAGTATTTTAGCAGTTGCATTTGATTTGTTGCAACGTTGAAAGCCTTGATTTGTAGAAATAAACTACCAGCAAGATAAAGAATATTCCATCGCTATCTTATGGGTATCACCTAGTTAGATTTCTTGTTTATTTGCTAACCTCAATTTAAGATGTTTTATTCGTCCAAAAGATTTGCATACGGTAGGCCATCGTATCATGAATACCGGTTTTGACACCTCCGGATATTTCAACCCCAAAAAATCCTTTACTCGTCAATTCAGATACACAATCGGAGCTAAATATGCTCCAAAAGACGGCAGATAAGTAAAGCATTTCATTCTGGACTTTTTTTTCTGAATATGCCGAACTATCGTCTGTTTCGTGTAACTACTTATTAATGGGTGTAATAAAGATACATTGTTATTGACATTATTTACATCCGAGAGGGAAACTGTGAATAGATATATTTAACGATGAACAATGCATTAAGATCGTTATATAGACGAATCGTGTCATTTCAATATTATTGATCATAATCCTGGTAATATTTCCAAGGAACAGTTCCAGTACCGTAATTGACGTTTATTGTTTATTCCTGAAAGGGTTACTGCAGTTAACTTTCACAGTCCGTTTAATATCTGATACAATGTCAGAGTTAGTGGAAATATTAGGTGATAGTGTTCTGAACAACCAAGGACAACAAGTTAATGTAAAAGATTTAAGTAGTGAAGATGTAGTTTTAGGTGAGTGCATTAAAATAAATCTGATTGTCTCAGTAATATGGTCACTAGTAAGTGGTCACATGGAAAAATAGCCACAGTTTTGCATGAATAATTTAACATATTATATGTAATCCTACTCCGATCTGATCTCAGCAAATTTCATTATAGTTTATTTCAAATAATGATAGAAAAATATTTTCTTTAAATATTTGTTTATGCTCCTAATATTTTATATTCAACGCAAGAATTATTATGTTCATGTAGGCCAATCTTTCCTAATATTAAAACTCTGTATATAGGCCCTATGTCACCGTGAGAGTGAAAGATACCGGAATTTTGACGTAGTATCTAAAGAAACCGATATATTTTATTGCATGTAAGCACATTTTTGAAGGCTTAAATTGCGACGGCGAGCCGTGAACAATACTACTTTTTAGCACAGCTAAAAAAATTCCCGTTTCTGAGTCTAGGGTCAAACAAATCTGTTCGTATAACATGCATTTTGAAATTTAAAGGGGTACAGCCGCCCAATTGTGGCAGTTTTTCAATGTGAACATTTCAGTTAGCTGAAGTGGCGAAAGGCTGAGCCACTTAACCATGTGATTAATTATCTTTATTTATTAGGACGAATGTAAGTGATATGTATACGGGCATCTGAAGTTAAGAATATTTTACGATTACATCCCTTTAAAATGTTATTATTAAGACATTATTAAGAAGAGAATATTAGTATGGTATTAACATAGTTGAATAGTCACTATTTCCTGTGCTAATAGAATGTTAATCTATTAATTAGCTCGTAGTATAGAATTTTATTGTAAAGAAAGCAGGATTTCCTTTTTCAAGATCTTTACATTGAAAACCACAATTATATTTTCTATTTATGCTTCTCTTAGTGGTTTCTCTAGAGAAAATCCTCAAATGTATTAAGGCCGTACGACTGACAAATATACATTCTATGATTATCATCTCGACAAAACTGTCATTCCAAGTCATAAACGTGTAGGAGACGGGTGAGTAGGGAGGGAGTGCAATTATCATTTTTTCGGGCAGCAACCCGAAAACAAAGAAAAATACAGGTAAAATTCGTCGTCTATCTTGACTGCAATAGCTTTAAATCCTTTATGAATTTTTTTAGCCATACCTGGAACGATTGATACACCTGCTTGCAATCAGATAAAGCCCTAGTAGGTGTTGACATATTCGTTATCAATCTCATGCAATTAGTTAATGAAACGATATAGCCTATGGTACAAACCATTTTCATTCCGAATGTTATAAAAAACTACAGATAACAAAACGCTTGAAACAAATAAAACCAATACATTTATTGACGTCATTGCTCCGACCTATAATTCACTTTTGAACACGTAGCATGTGAGGAAGTATGTCAATCATAAATGAGGAAGTATTTTATGATGAAAAGTGACATCAGGTGTCTAGAAGAGTACGCATACACTGCACGACATAGGGATATTTAGAGATACAAGTACACTATTGTATTCTTTAGATTATAATTATCATATATTTTAAACTGTATATTCAATTAATCAAATTGATATCATCTTTGATGTCAATGGCTACTCCGAAAAGTAACGACTTTCGTGCTAAAAGGTCCTGCTAAAAAGTCCATAAAATTCAGATTCTAGAACGCCATTTATTATCTGTATGTTATTTCAGGATTGTACTATTCCGGTCACTGGTGTCCACCATGTCGTATGTTTACTCCAACTTTGATCAAATTTTATGATAAGATAAAGAGCAAAGGCAAAAAATTTGAAATAGTTTTTATTTCATCGGACAGAGATGAAGAATCATATGAAGAATATATGAAAACTATGCCATGGTTATCACTTCCGTTCGGCCCCAAATCGGTGAGAATCTATACTTTCTGTTTTTATCATGTTTACTATTTTGCTTCTAATTTGGTTGATGATTTATATACCACCAAGGAACTTTACGAAATTACAGAAAGAAAGAAATGACTATTTAAGTTCATGGGTACCGTCTACCAACTGGTCCTCGACATTGATCTTTCCTGGATTATCCGTACTTATTTACAGTTGGATCGATTGGAATAATGATGACTTCTGCAAGGTCACCAGAGCTTCACACGACTTCATAACACACCGTCTATCTGTTACAGTTCCTAATTTACCCGAAATAATTTTTTATTTCAGGAACAACTTTCAGAGAAATATGGAGTGAGCGGCATACCTACTCTATTGTTGTTGGACAGCAAAACTGGAAAAGTTATAACAGAACTTGGGAGAGCAAAGATTACCACAGACCCAGAAGGAACTAATTTTCCCTGGAGGAATGATTCTTGAACCTATTTTTTTTATTTTTTGGAGTACGATTCTAAATACGCCAGGAACTCAATATCGACTCTTCTTTTATATATTTTCTTGATCTGTTTCGAAATAAAAAGAAATTAACCATCATAATATTTTTATTTAAATCTTTATCTTGAGAGCTTTTCTTTCTGAAGTTTCCTGATATCGAACGTGACCGTGAACATATTGTTCTTTTGGAATAAGGGTTCAAATAAATTGATTTATTTTTTTTATAGTATTTAATTCGATTTTGCGTTGTTAAAGTAGGACCGTGCTTTTAAGTTTTGCTCTGTTAAACCTTGATTCAGCTATCATTCTTTCAGTTCACAGTGCCATCATCACCTACCAAAACTTGTACCACGTTTATTAGCCACATGGTGGTTTTGTTGCAGTAGTATATGAATGTAATACTAATGTAATTGTCGTAAACAATTAGAAAGTAACGCATCTGGAGTCATATCATCATATCATAAAACACCGAACTACAATGGCATAGGCCTACCTCTGGGTTTACCAGTACGTTTTGTATCTTGGAATAAGATTCGTTGACATCACCTTGAATCAACTAATGATAAATTGTTTCAACTAATTTGACAGAATCCAGATTTAAGATCTAGAGCTGGTAATAGAAACGCGACTGATAGACAAGTAACTCATTACTATAAGGCAGTGTGTAAGTAAATGATGATTTTGTGTCAGCGGGTCGCCAATCATCCTTGCAAATTCGGTGGAACCCTTTTACATTCTCACAAGAATTTTGGGCTACTACCAGGCTACAAAACTAAATTGTGTTTTCATCTCAATTTCAAGATTCTGTTAAATATGAGTGAAAGGGGGACACCCTGAACGTACTATAATGAACCTTTGTTTTGGTTTCTATCAATTCAAACATAAAACAATAGAAAATAGACAAAAAATATTAAGTTAACAAACAAATGAATATCATATAACAAAAAAAGGTGACTAAAAATAGTATGCCAAAGAACACAACTTTTTGAAAGGTTCCGTGAAATATATTATCACCAAAAGAACGTCATTTATAAATTATTCTGTAATTGTCTTCACTTGAACTTTCAAGCTGTACGAGTTTTAATTAATGAAGATAATAAACCACAGTAGGTGTTGTCATGAGATTATTTATAAGAGTTTTATTTGTATTGTTCCTAATGGTCACCATTGTTATAGGTGTGGTTCTATTTCCCGGTGACAGAGTTGTCGTTATTGCCTCGACTGGCTGTTTGCCATGAAACACAAATATATCTGTCATAATGGACTGAAAACTCAGAACTAATGCAACCACTATGATGAACCAGTACTTATCAACTGCCTGAAGGTACAAAATAGCATTAAATTGTGATATCAATAAACCTATAACGCCAATAATGGAGTTTGGGACAAAATATCCCATGTACACTCACTGAACACTAATGACACGCCAGTGTCGGAGCCAAAGGGGGGGGGGGGGGGTTTTTTTTTAGGGCAATCTCATATACAACCCCCCCCCCCCCCCCCTCGAACATTAATCTGGCTCCGTCACTGCAGCCAAATGACGTTTTAATCTGTTCTTCTTGTATTACTGGAACTAATTAACGGTAAATTAAGCAATCAGGTGAGGAATAGCCTCAGAAGGGATGGTCTCTTGTTACTACAATTCAATCAGATTATTGTAGATTTTGTTGAATAATTTACTTACCAAATCTCCTCCACGATACCACCAATTCTAAAAATACAGAGAATAATGAAAGTATTAAAACCAACAGTTCATGTTACTATCAGTCCAGTCAGTTATATTGCTTGGCCTGTGGATGAAACTTCAACTAACTGTCCTTTTCTTAATGAAATCATACGTCCAATAACTCAGCATTATAGTTTAGTGTTGACGGCCTTTCTTTCCAGGCTTCTGAATGTGTTTTCTAGCATATAATCTAATCAAATCGCTGCATTTACCATTTTCTGTGGCTTGTGAAGCCAAGGCATACGACGAGTTCTTAATAGTTTGACATAGTGAAGAAGACGCTGCTCATGTACAGTACAATGTGAAAATGACTCTCCATGTAAATTCATTGAGAAAAATTGGAATGTACAACTTACCACTACTATTCCGATAATACTGCTAACTGAAAAATATTTCTTGAAATGTAATTAAACTCCCATTAAAGCTTTAAATGTCTTATTATATAACAGCGACAGGGGTTTTCAATAAAAAGTATGTATTGATACGTTTATATAAGAATGTAGGTCCAGCTGTTTTATTCCGTGCTGTTTTCTGCATGACTCTTGTCTTCCTTGATTTGACAAAATTCTTCCTTCAATCAGGTTTACTGGAATTTCCGTCCAATAGCTCAAAAATGGCATAATGGCTAGTTTTAAGTATTTTTAAAGGAATTATGCAATTTTCGTACAATTCTAGTAATTCTGAAGACTATATACATATATTCAAGACTCAAATCAACCTCCAAAAATGGCACACCTGTCCCTCTAATGCTAACCAATACTAAACACGGGTAATCAACTGAGCATTTGATTGGTTGAATATGACATTATTTAGAACGAGAGACGAATAACAATTTCGTCGGATCGTGGACAGCAAGTCGAATAGAAAAGGGCAATGAAATAATTTGCAGTATTATAAGATTAAGTCAGTGTCACGAAATTAAAAAGTTGGTAACTCACTTCCTAAATTAGCTGTCAATAAATAATACGATGTATCTTCTGATGCTTGTACAATTGACAGCACCATTCCAATCTAGATAAAAGACAATTACTTTATATTGAATTTCCATTAAATTAGTTGGATTTCCGATATATTACTCTTTTAATATAAAATAATGGGTTTTTACTGTTGAAACTCAAATATTTTCGAATCGACCAAACATTGATTTAAAATTAACTACAAGAAACTTTCGTAATTGATCTGTGCAATATTCTGCCTATATTTTGAAATGTCATGCGAGATGCTGAAATGATGTCTGGATAATAAAATGATGAATATGGCTTTAAATGTGCAGTGGCGTTACTATGGGATTTCATTGTATAAATGTTCATACAAGCGCCCGGCGTACCTTTGCGGATTTTAGAGGGTACAGATCATGGTGAGGGGTCGGGGATAATTTTTCAATGTTGTAAGCCGGAGAATACATATAAACGATTTTTGAAGTGAAATATCTTGTATGACCCCACGGGGACATTGGGCATTGCCCAAAAAATTACCACCTAAATACACCTCTTTCACTACTTACAATAATAAGTAATATCATTCCAACATTTATAAAGCGAACCATGAATACCTGAAATATGTAAAATTATTAATTGTGAACCACGGTTGGTGGCGGTGGTCGAGGTTGTTGCCCCCTTATTCTCTTAATCAATGTACAAATAGATTGGCCGAAACAAAGTTAATATTCTGGCTTTATGAATGAATAATGTTGTACATTAATTGAACACTTCCGGTTTGAAACGGGTAACCTAATGGGTTTACCGACTATCTATACCGACAGATCCAACCGGAAGTGTGAAATGAACAAGCTAATATTATGGATCAAGCATTCTAGTCCGGGTCGAAACTTTTGTATTTGGTAAAATAAACAATAATATCAATCATACTAGATAACATGGCTACTATAAAAAAAACAAGGAAACAAATAAATATCCTGTTTTCTTGCTGCGATGATATTGACATCGGAAAACATTACTTCAAATTCAATATCATACCCTTTCTCTTGCAATTGTTAACTTCCGTTTAGGCCTATTTGGTGGTTGGGATTTACTACCAACCCTAATTTAAAAATTAACGAGAAAGACTTTCTGCATTGCATAATTGTTACCAAGAGTGTTAAGATTAAAAAACAAGTCAAAAAATACATACAATATGCGGCGAGACATCATGATAAATCGCCGATTTATCAGTGGATGTTGCAGTCGTAGTTGAGGCCTGCCCTGAATAGAAGTCCGCCATGTTTTCTCATGTGATGACTTTCTGTAGGCCCTATGATAAATCTAAAAGATAACATCAGTTTTAATTGGGTGACTAATTTGATATAACCAATAGAGAGAGATGATATATATTTTGATATGAAGCAGACATCACAAGTTTATGTCGACATGTTATGAGATAAAGTGATTTGGACGAGATACGGCCATGCCTTCTGATACAACACCTATATTGGGGGATGGAGCAGGGGGAACTACTTCTTCCGGTCCTTTATACCATGACAGTTCACAATCTCCGCGTTCTGTAAGTATTACCCTACTTTTAGTTTAACACGTCTTTATAGTAACCAATATAATAATAACGCTAGCATTGCATACTTTGAGTATGTGTATGCCTTTGTATATAATAGATATATTTAGAAAGCTTGTCGTGAAATTAAAGGCGACAGTCAAACGCATGTACATGTTGACACAAACTTAGAAGGGCAAACTCTGAGGAGCATCCAAGAGTAATCATAACGTATGTGAGTGGGAAATTATCGCCTCCCAATCGAGAGTAACAATCTCTGACAGCATGCTTTATATTATATTTATTCTAGAAAGGAATCCAGGTTCTGTTTGTTGCTACTGTAATAATAATGGCTTTAGTAAGTGAAATATCTTGTTAAATAAAATTTATATGAAATTATTTTTTTTCTTCTCAATAATGACTTGTTGATATCCTTATTGATTTGAATGATACATTTTTATAGTTTGAGTTGAGATAGACAGAGAAAGATAAGATAAGATAAGATTTTATTGTGTATATAATCCCTTTGTGGACATCATACAAATATAGAACAGTACAATTATTTGCAATAAAAAATAAAATGGAACACAGGTACATGTAGGCCTATATGAAAAAAAAGAACTATTGAATTATTAGGCAAGTTCATTCATATCCAATAATATATTTTCATATTTATATATATTATATTTTTAGGTGACTACGTCATTAAGTATATATAGAGGTATAGAACTTGGTGGCTATGCATCGTTATATTTCTTGATGGGCTCTAGTTTAATTGGTTTGATGATAATATTGATCATAATGGTATGTTGAATTCTGGAACTTCATACATACAGGCCAATGAGGCCATATATGGAAATATTTATATCTTGATCTGAGTGAAATTGAAAATACTGTATCTATAACTAACAGTACTTTATCTATAACTAACAATACTTTATCTATTACTAACAGTACTTTCTGTCTAACACTAAGAATATTGTATGCTTTATCATCATCTATCAGTTACTAACACTTTTGTTATATCGTCGACTATATATGATCTATCTGTTACTACCAATGCGGCCTTAAATATCATTATCTGTCTATTACTAACAATGCTGTCTGTTATATCATCATCTATGCATTACTAACAATACTCTTTGTTACATGTATATCATCATATGTTACTAACACAGTCTGTTATATCATCATCCATCCCATACTAACAATATTGTCTGTAATGTCATCATCTATCTATTACTAACAATACTCTCTGTTAAACAATAACTTCATCTGTAACTAACAATACTGTCTGTTATAGTATCATCATCTGTCCCATACTAACAATATTGTCTGCATTGTCATTTTTACATTATGCCTCTTTTTCAGATAATTTTCATTCGAAGAGATGACGTACCAAAAGAAAAGACGTGGTTTGTATATCTGATGGGTTTATTTATTATTTTAGAAGCAATATTTACAAATGTCCTTATATTTAGATAGCGCATGGTTTTCCAATGTGTTTTGTATATAGTTGTATCTATGTATTTATTTGTTGAATATATTCTAGTTGTATCCACATTTACTTTTACTCGCAATGGTTAAATATTGTTACTATTTTCATTTAATTATCTATTTTCTATTGATCTATTCTATTGATCTATTTTTCTATTTTGATCAAACAAAAGTTTAAATTTTTTCGGATTTATTTTTTAAAAAGGTAGATAGATAAAATATAGGCCAAAGCGAAGTCCTAATATAATATGATTTAAAGTATATTTGATATCATGAAGATTTACTGTTCTTTTTCACCCTTTATGAATAAATTTGTCTCCCCCATTATGATATATCAAGTTGGATATTACATAATTAAGATAAAGGACGGAATGTGGTCAGAAGGGGAGGTAATCTATATAATCCACTTAATCCAGCCATGGATTAACCTGTACATTATGTGTCAATCAAACTGTGGAAAGGGATGTTTATAGTGTGTTATTAGTCACTCAAGGTGTGTAAGATAGCCATATTGCTAAGGATAATGATAATGATAATAGAATGTTCATATCTTAACTGTTCTAGTCATCACATTTTCATAATGATAATAGTTTGTTGAACTGGGTTTTAAGGCCAATATTCTCACTACGGACAAATCTTTTCTTCCGTTACACTCTTATCCAGACTATATAATATGAAACATCTTGAATATTCTTAAACTTTAATTATTTATTTTCATAACTTACATTTTTGAGATCTCTAATATTTCTTGAATGTTCTAGATATCAAAAATTTTCTAGATATCGTAAATATTCTTAAGATCGTGCATAAAAAGCTGGACATCGTGGATATTCTAGATATCGTGAATAAAATAGATATCAAGATATTGCGAATATACTATTTATTTTGTGGATATTCTATACATTGTAAGTATTCTAGAAATCGTGGATACTCCAGATATTGTAAATATTCTAGACATGGTGGATATTTTAGTAATTGCGAATATTGTATTTATATCGTGGATATTGTAGATATCGTGAATAATCTACGTATGTTTCATATTCTAGATATCCTGGATATTCTAGATTATTTATATCTTGAATATTCTTAATATCACAGAAATTCTAGACGTTGCAGATACTCTAGATATCTGTATATTCTATATATCGTGAATATTCTACATATGTTGCATATTCTAGATTATTTATATCTTGAATATTCTTAATATAACAGAAATTCTAGACGTTGCAGATACTCTAGATATCTGTATATTCTATATATCGTGAATATTCTACATATGTTGCATATTCTAGATTATTTATATCTTGAATATTCTTAATATAACAGAAATTCTAGACGTTGCAGATACTCTAGATACCTGTATATTCTATATGTCGTGAATATTCTAGATATCGTGAATATTCTAGATATTTTACCATTTAGATTATTTCAATATATGTTACGAAAAATATCTGGTTTACAGAATTTACTTCTCATATGAATTGCTATGATACAAATGGATAATATTATAACATAACTTTACATATCAAATTATCACAATTATCACTTACTATCTCAACTAAATTGATGTTTACAGAATTGTACAAAAACCTGTATTAAGATGGACTACTAATGTAGTTGGTTGGTTGGTAGATGACAAGTTAACGTTCGCTTCCAGCGGATGCTGACATCGCAAACTAGGTATTTGTTGGTAGTCGTAGTAGTTGGTAGTTGGATTGGATCAAATTGGATGATTCGGTGTTGTTGGTTTGGTTGTTGATTCTTCGTTAGATCTGGTCGGGTCGAATGACATGGCGGTGAAACTCGGCCCTGGATGGTGTGGCGTGAGTTACTCGGTCTCCTTCATTCTTCCAAACTCGTTCTGATCATGGTATTTCTTGTTGATTGGTAGTCGAATGGTAGTCGTTGGTTTGGTTTGGTTTGGTTAGATTATCTGTTATCTGTTGGAAAACTCGAAGACCTGAAAAAAAAGAAAAAAAAAAGAAAGTGAGAAAAAGAGGGAGGAAAGAGGGGGGGGGGGGGGAGCTTTCACAAAAGGGGGGAGAGATGTTCTCTAATGTTTCTGCGAT